AGACGTCTCAACGAAATATCGACAGAAAGGGGTTAAAAAATGGAAATGTCTCTACAAAAACTACGATTAGAAATTGTAGTTGTATATCTAGGAAATTACCACAAAAAAGGGTGTACAAACTGACGTTGTGTTTATTAAATTACCACAGGAAGGGATGTACAAAATGGCGTTGTGTTTATTAAATTACCACAGGAAGGGATGTACAAAATGACGTTGTGTTATGAAATTACCTGAGGAAGGGATGTACAAAATGAGGTTGTGTTATGAAATTACCTGAGGAAGGGGTGTACAAAATGAGGTTGTGTTATGAAATTACCCGAGGAAGGGATGTACAAAATGACGTTGTGTTTATTAAATTACCACAGAAAGGGATGTATAAAATGACGTTGTGTTATGAAATTACCACAGAAAGGGGTGTACAAAATGAGGTTGTGTTATGAAATTACCACAGGAAGGGATGTACAAAATGACGTTGTGTTTATTAAATTACCACAGAAAGGGATGTACAAAATGAGGTTGTGTTATGAAATTACCACAGAAAGGGGTGTACAAAATGAGGTTGTGTTATGAAATTACCACAGGAAGGGATGTACAAAATGACGTTGTGTTTATTAAATTACCACAGAAAGGGATGTACAAAATGACGTTGTGTTATGAAATTACCACAGAAAGGGATGTACAAAATGACGTTGTGTTTATCAAATTACCACAGAAAGGGATGTACAAAATGACGTTGTGTTATGAAATTACCACAGGAAGGGGTGTACAAAATGAGGTTGTGTTATGAAATTACCTGAGGAAGGGGTGTACAAAATGAGGTTGTGTTATGAAATTACCTGAGGAAGGGGTGTACAAAATGACGTTGTGCCTAGAAATAACGTCAGAGAGTGATATGAAACGTTGGTATGGTGTAGAGGTACTGGAGGTTTAGGGCAACATTCAAGCTATATATATCACCGCGAGGGTCATCCGCAGTGGTCCTCACACCTTGTACCCCCAGGTTTCTGGGAGACAGCGCTTCAATACTAACCTACCCAACCGTCCTGGTAATACATTCTATTCGACTTAACTATAACAACTGACTATTATAATGAATATTTGACCAGTGATGGTGCACATTACTGATGAATGAATGAATGAATGAATGAATGAATGAATGAATGAATGAATGAATGTGTTTGTGACGTCATCAGAGACTGTTGGTACCACGTGTTCGGTGAGCATATCCTGCTCCGTCAGTCATAAACACATGCAAAGTCTAGTCAATTGTTCACCTGTTATATGGAAACATATGGCACCGAGGCGTCAGTGGCCCTACTTGTTCTAGCTATGATGGGGCGGTGGGGTAGTCTTGTGGTTAAAGTGTTGACTCGTCACGCCGAAGACCCGAGTTCGAATCTCCACATGGGTACAATGAGTGAAGCCCATTCCTGGTGTCCCCCGCCATGATATTGCTGGAATATTGCTAAAGGCGGAGTAAAACCAAACTCAGTGAGTCAGTCAGTCTAGCTATGATAATTAAGTTTTGGGCAATATTCATATGACAACTCAGTTAAAAGTCCATTCCTCTGATCTTTGTACCAGATACTTTCCGATACTAACCTGCCATGAGTTGAGTCCATTCCTCTGATCTTTGTACCAGATACTTTCCGATGTTAACATTATTTATCATCCAAAACTGTGTTCCACAGGAGATATCGCTTGTGTGAGATCATATGACAGTAGATTTGGTACAATGCCCTGACAATGCTATGACGTCATCAACTTGATGACGCCACAGTGCTATGACATTGCTGTACTGCAAGTCTAATGGCAGTACAGTGTTGAGAGATGTACATTTTTCATTGAAAACTAATGAAGAATGATTTTTGATGATAAATAGAATCTCACCCTCGTGTTTACAGATATCAATTATAGCAACACTCGTTGATAAAGGTAAAAATATCCTCGGCAAGCCTCGGATATTTGTATCTTTATAAACTCGTGTTGATATAATTGATATCAGTAGACACTTGGGTGAGATTCTCTATATACGCCCTCCTGTTGCTTCACCAGATAATGTCAATTTACGTATGACCTTTTAGTTTAAAACATTTCCATAATCATACGTAATTTATACTAAACGCGGGACAGTGGGGTTCTGGTTAAAGTGTTCGCTCGTCACACCGAAGACCCGGCTTCGATTCCTCATGTAAACAATGTGTGCAGGCCATTTCCAGTGTCCCCCGCCGTGATATTGCTGGAATTTTCCTAAAACTGGCGTAAACTTAAACTACCTCTCTCACTGACGTATACTGAATGCTGAGTCCGTTAAATCCTCTGTCCAAACAACCTTCTTCAAATCTGCTGAACCTGAACCCGTTACATTGATCAGAGGTTTCATGTAATGTCTCGACAATCGGTTAACGGTGTCATCAATGTTATCCCCTTACATGATTACATCACCATGGTTACACATGGAGGTTTAGGAACTGGTTTTAAACAATAACTTGAATACATGACGATTTGTGCAGTCACTCCAATCAAACAACAGAGTTCCCACTTCCGATGCGATTGCTTGGAGATTATTGAGTTTGCGTGAACTGAAGAAGTTAATTGAGACTATAACGATGACGACATTCCGAAGGTCTTTTTTCCTGAAATATGTCACGTTTAATTGTTTTGTTCCTCAGCTGACCTCGGCTAAAACAAAGTAAACAAACAATGAGAGTTAAATTGTGTAGTGTGCTGTTCAAAGTGACCTCCCTTTCAAAACAGATTTCTTCAAACTCCTGCACGTGTCTACCGCCTGCCTGAGGATCTTAGCGGGCTGTACACAGGTGTAAGTAAAACAATAATCTCTAGTTTTATATTTCTCTGAGAGTTTCCAGTGTACCTGTCTTAAAGATAGGTCCAGCAGGAGGAACGCCATCTTTATCAATACAAACTTCACAAAAAACCTTGTCAGAATAGAGCGCCCCTGTCTCAAGTCACGTTCTGTTGTGCTGCGGTCAATATCTCACACCAGCCTCGGATACCTGTAAACAAACTGTAAATACATCCAGAGTACAAATAAACAAACCCACAATCCAAAACCACAGAACAGAATTTCCCGCTAGGTGGCGCTAGGAGTTTTACCTTGAAGAGAGCTGATGAAGAAATGGTATAAACCAATATTTATTCATATTCTACGTAACAATGCCAGAGGGATGAAAGTCGCTTCGTGACGTCACGTCATAATCTCGGATAACTTCGTGACAGCGAGACTTGGGTTTGTCGCAGCGGAAATACCAAGGTGTTTGTATGTGTACGAGTCAATTGAAGAGCCCGTGGAAGTTAGTCGTGAGCAAACACAGGCCGGTGCCCTGACTTCAAACACGCTGGTCTTCTAGAACCGCAGGGTCTTTATCGGTCATCTTGCTGTGTCCACAGGGCATACAGAGGCGTAGCTGATGAGACACGACGTGACAGGTGTACTGATGGTACTGTCAGGTGTACTGATGGTACTGTCAGGTGTACTGATGGGACTGTCAGGTGTACTGTGGAGGATGTAACAGGTGTACTGTTGATGTAACAGGTGTACTGTTGATGTAACAGGTGTACTGTTGATGTAACAGGTGTACTGTGGAGAATGTGACAGGCGTATTGTGTAGGATGTGACAGGTGTATTGTGTAGGATGTGACAGGTGTACTGATGAGGCTGTCGGCTATACTGTGGAGAATGTGACAGGTGTACGATGAAGGATGTGACAGGTGTACTGTGGAGAATGTGACAGGTGTACTGTAGAGGACGGGACAGGTGTACTGATGGTACTGTCAGGTGTACGGTGTAGGATGTGACAGGCGTACTGTGGAGGCTGTCGGGTGCACTGTAGAGGATGTGACGGGTGTACTGTTTAGGATGTGACAGGTGTATTGTAAAATATCGGACACCTGTTCAATGTTGTTGATCTATATCTTTCCTTCTTGCATTCTACATTTTAGTAAGATAAACAAGGCAACACCATACAATTGTTTTCTGTTCAAAAAAGAAAAATAGATGTTGCATATTTAAACAATTAAATCATTAAACAATTCCTATATTACATCCGTAAATATGGATAAATTGTAGAAATTCTACATAAATACTACTTTCATAATGTTCATGTGATATGTTGAACATGGTGTTGCATTCTTAAGTTAGTACTGCGATGCCTCACCCAGTGATGGCCGCCCGATCACTTCCAAATACATACCCTTTAATAAAGGCAGCACATCAAACATCGCTCCAGTGGAACACCGAGTCAAACACCTGGGTACCCGGGTACAGTCAAACACTGGGTACAGTCAAACACCTGGGTACCTGGGTACAGTCAAACACCTGGGTACCCGGGTACAGTCAAACACCTGGGTACAGTCAAACACCTGGGTACAGTCAAACACCTGGGTACAGTCAAACACGGCTCTGCGGACTTAAGGGACCCACATAATTACTTCGAGTACTCCTAGGTTCGACTCACGGAAGAAAATGACTAAAATGATATACGCAGGGACCTAGCCTATAGTTCGAGACGATGGTTCACGGTGTTTTACAGTATTCTCCGCGATAGGTAACTCAACATATCATATACTGTAACTGTATCTTGGATATTACTGTACTACATATCATATACTGTAACTGTATCTGGGATATTACTGTACTGCATATCATATACTGTAACTGCATCTGGGATATTACTGTAATGCGTATGTTCCTACCATACAAGTACTGGTTATTACACTGAAACATGACTGAGATCCTGGTTATTACACTGAAACATGACTGAGATTCTGGTTATTACACTGAAACATGACTGAGATCCTGGTTATTACACTGAAACATGACTGAGATTCTGTTGGGATCCAGTTGGGAGAAAACGACAGGCATGAACCAGCCCATCAGCACAAGGTGGAACCAATGCCGTAAGACGGACGTTCAGTGAGACACATATTCCTTGTATCTATGTGATCTATATTTAACATTCCATATTCTTGTATTCCAGGTACAATGGCTACGAAACAGTGGCAAGTGCGGCGTCTGCGGTGACGCCTACCACGGCAAGAACGATCACGAAGCCGGCGGCAAATACGCCAACGGCATCATCACCCGCAGCTTCCACGAAGGCGACACCATCCCTGTCACTGTCCACCTCACGGCTAACCATCTCGGCTGGTTCGAGTTCCGGGTCTGCCCCGTGAACGACCCCAAGAAGAGAGTGACCCAGAAGTGCCTGGACAAGCACCAGCTCAAGCGGCCGGATGGGAAGGGCATGAAGTACTATGTCCCCAAGGGGAAATACAACGCCTTCTTCAACTACACTGTCCAGCTACCCCCGGGACTGACATGCAAACAGTGTGTCATCCAGTGGAAGTATAGAACAGGTGGGTAGTGACCAGGGGGTGATGACCAGGGGGTGGTGCTGGGGCAGGGTATTGACGGGGGAAGGTGGGTAGTGACCAGAGGGTGGTGACGAGGGGTGGTGACCAGGGGTAGTGACCAGGGGTGGTGACCAGGGGTGGTGACCAGGGGTAGTGACCAGGGGTGGTGACCAGGGGTAGTGACCAGGGGTGGTGACCAGGGGTGGTGACCAGGGGTAGTGACCAGGGGGTGACCAGGGGGTGTGTGTTTGTGTGATCAGGGGTGGTGACCAGGGGGTAGTGACAAAGGGGTAGTGACCAGGGGTGGTGACCAGGGAGTAGTGACCAGGGGTGGTGACCAGGGGGTAGTGACCAGGGGGTAGTGACCAGGGGTTGGTGACCAGGAGTAGTGACCAGGGGTGGTGACTAGGGGTAGTGACCAGGGGTTGGTGACCAGGGGTGGTGACCAGGGGTGGTGACCAGGGGTAGTGACCAGGGGTTGGTGACCAGGAGTAGTGACCAGGGGGTGGTGACCAGGGGGTAGTGACCAGGGGTGGTGACCAGGGGTAGTGACCAGGGGTTGGTGACCAGGGGGTAGTGACCAGGGTTGGTGACCAGGGGTAGTGACCAGGGGTGGTGACCAGGGGTGGTGACTAGGGGTAGTGACCAGGGTTGGTGACCAGGGGTGGTGACCAGGGGTGGTGACCAGGGTAGTGACCAGGGGTTGGTGACCAGGGAGTAGTGACCAGGGGTGGTGACCAGGGGTAGTGACCAGGGGTTGGTGACCAGGGGTGGTGACCAGGGGTGGTGACCAGGGGGTGGTGACCAGGGGGTAATGACAAGGGGGTAGTGACCAGGGGGTTGGTGACCAGGGGGTAGTGACCAGGGGTTGGTGCTGGAAAGGTTATTGACGGGGGAAGGAGAGGTGGAATATCATAGTGATTTCAACATTCATCGCTCATAAGAACGATCTGACTTCAATACCGAAGTTGATGCAGACGTTACAGTGTCAAGTAGCATACTATCAACGGTCCATAACAGGAAGTGGTGCTAGATGCTAGTGGTGCCACTCTCCCTATGAACGGATCTTGTCAGGTTATAAGTGCAGTCTGTGCCAGGTATGCAGCGCTATACCCGACGCAAGACACTCGACACTTGTCCTGACTTTCGACTCCTGACATCCGACTCTCGACGTCCGGATGTTCGACCCTGAACACTTGACGTCCTTACATTCGACACTTGACGTCCTTACATTCGACACTTGACGTCCTTACATTCGACACTTGACGTCCTTACATTCGACACTTAACTTTCGGACATATATTCACAATACATCCACAGTATAACCTATTGATTTCTACTGATTGTCAGACAGACAGACATTTGTCTACTGGGGGATTGGCAGACTGTCAACTGGACATTTTGTGGACTGTAGCATAACATTTGTACATTTGACATTAATTCGTCACAATAAGCATTGGAATATAAGTTCCCAAATTCATACTGAAATAAACCACCATCTTGAACACCTAAACAGACTTTGTAACATTGTTCACGGAATAATCAATCTTGTATAAACCCGACATGTCATTCCACTGTGCTGAATGCTTTACGTGGACTAGATGTGCCTGCAACTATCACTGAAACTGAGTTCTTTCAAGGAAATTCTTTTTTTTTGCTAGGTAACACTTGGGACAAGGATGACAAATCTGGGTTGTTCTGTCTGGGATGTGGCCCGCAGGAGGAGTTCTACAACTGTGCTGATATTGAGATTCTTCCCAAGGGAGCAAAATCCAAGTGGACTAAAGAACAGAACATGAAACCATCCACCACCCAGGCGCCAGAGGAGAAGAAGCTCAAGGTCAATGTCCAAGTGGAATCAAAACACGACATGGATAAGAAAAACCTCATCAACCCCAAGACGGCGGAGGTTGCCACTGGGAAGAAGCCTGGAGTCGTCAAGAAGCAGAGCAACTCCATAGCAACCAACCCAACCAGTCGACGGAAGCTGAAGCCAAAACATCCCCAGGACGTGAAGTACAACTGGAGGGCGTCCACGCCGTGGCTGATGCAGAGGAGGAACATGGCGAGCAGGAGGAGGCTGGGGATGCGGAGGAAGCAGCTGTCCCAGAAGATGAACCACAATAATCACAACAACCTCAGCAAGGGAAGACAGCAACAGCCGAACAAACCCAAAGTTCAAAATGAAGCAAGCGTTAAACAAACTTCCAAGCCGAAGCCCACAACTAAAGCACCCCAGGTTAAACGTCCAGTGTCCAGAAAGCCTGTCCGACAGACTGCCCCCGCCACACCCAAATCCACGCCCGCACGACCCAACTCAACACCTAAGCCTAAGCTTGTGACTCAGCCACATAGGACCGTCACCAAGGCCCCGAGAGTAAAGGTCCTGAGAGGACCATCTAAGTCTTGGCTTATCAGCTCAAACAAACGTCAGCAAAGCCCATTCAGACGACCAACGCGGCCAGTCAAACAGATCATTAGACCAGTCAAACAGACTAGAAGACCAGTCAAACAAACACCCAGACCTGTCAAACAGACAATTAGACCTCTGGTGAAACAAACTGTTTTGGAAATTCCACGATCCTCTGTTCCGAGTGGACGATTTATTCAGAAGGGTGTAACTGTGACACGGACGACTGCACACAACTGCGTGACGGAGAAACCACAGACTGTGGCAGTGAAGAAGGTGATGATGACTCCCCAACCTCGCCAGGACGACACACGCCCTGCACACAGCGACAATCGTCCAGCAAAGAAGCAGGTGTACGGTCAGTCCAGCAGTACCCTTGGTCACCAAAGAGTCATCTCCTTCCAGCCCGTGCCCCAGCCGCCTTTGGTCAACCAGAGACAGACACTACCCAGTCACCAATCCACGGGCGGGTACGGCAACAACCAGATGTCCACAATGTGGTGGAACCAGTACCAGAGACCAGTCAACTATTTCTGGGACCGTCCCGCGGTGACTCCGCTTCTCAAGTGTCGAGCTACTATAACCCTTGGAGGCGGGATGGATGAGTGGTGCACCGCCAACTGTAACGCCAACTTCTGCCCCGGGGGGATGTGTATCTGTCAGCCGGACGAGCCGTCCTATCCCTCCTTCTCCATGTACCCCGCCCAGACACAAGCCTGGACCAACACCTACAGGCCACGGCTCAACGACTACAACACACAGGCCCGGGTATCTCAGAGTCTCAGCCCCTTCGCCCCCAGACACCACACAGCTCCCCATTCCATCCGTTCTCTGTCAGTGCAACAGCCTCGGCAACAGCCTCGGCAACACCCCCAGCAACATGCCCAGCAACATCCCCAACAACACAACCCGCAACGCACTCGGCAACGCATCCAGCAACGCAAGCATCAGCAACTTTACAGGCAACAACCTCGCCGACAGCCACAGATTCACAACCAGTCTCCCAAACAGCCATCAAGGTCCATTTTCTCCCCTCCACAGGAGCGAGCCCCCTCGCACCCAACACCTGCGCGTCCCTCCCAGAACGTGTGGGGTCAGAAAGGCAAGTACTATTGCAGGGCTACAGGCAGGTATGCGGGACTGAAGCGCTTCGACGACTGGTGCAGCACAAACTGCATGAACGTGATATGCCCACTACTTATATGCGAGTGCAACTCATTATAGTGCTGTCAGCCCTAATCTTCTTGTGGACATGAGGCATTGAACTATAGACAATACAAGGAAGTGCGTCTAGTCCACGCCAACCCTTGAAGACCTATCTCCTATACGCAGGGACGGTGACACACTTGTCTCTGTAGACCCACCCCTGAGAGGTCGGGGAACGCAGCATTGCAAAGAGAGACACCTTAACAATAACACGAGTAGCTTAATGTGACAACAGCCGTGCTGTGCTGTGCTGTGGTGTGGTGTGGTGTGAAGTGCCACAGAACGTGTATGGACAGTAACTGTTATACAGGAACTCTAAGAGGTGCGTTATTCTGACATACACAGCTTGTGGTGAATATGGACACACGATGAATGATTTGGTGTCAAGGCTACCACTGTAGACTGTTCTAATGACATCTCCCTCGCTAGAGCTACCAGCCATGACACCGGCGTAGGGTAGGGTGATTATCTAGCCATGGTAGTGACGATCTAGCCAAGGCTATGACGTTTGTATTCAGACCAAGAACTCCGATGTTCACGTGTGCTTCTCACTTACCTGTATTGTACGATTTAGTGAATGGGCGAGTGAATGAGTGAGTGAATGTGTGAGTGAGTGAGTATCTAGGGATATTTCAGCTGAGACGAAATGCAGACAGTCTTCATTTAAGTGGTTCGCTATTCGGGTAAACTGTTGCATGAAGACAGTGAGATCGAAGGGTGGCCTGTTGCCGCTTTCAAGGGAGACAACCCATCAAATGGTGTAACCATGAATCACTGTTAACACTTGCTTAATGAACACTATATGAAGGACAGTCACGTGGCTGAAGCATTCAGGGGAGATAACCCATCACATGACATGAGAATGTATGAGACCGCGAAACGGCGGTGAACATTTTGAATGAGCGCTCTCTGACGGATTCATCCAAGGGAGATAACCCACACAATGGCGTAAGAATGCATGATAGTTAACCGTTGTTCCGTGAATATCTTGAAGGAGCGCTCTCTGACTGATATATTCAAGGGAGGTAACCCATTAACTGAAGTGAGCATGTTTGCTGGTATACATGTATTTTCTATGCAGCTTCCATTTTGTATATATGTAATTAGATTGGTAGTGACGGGGTTCCTTTTTTATATAAAAATAAACATCCATTACGAAATATCAGCAGTGTGGTGTTTTTGTTGAAGCCTTTGCAAACATGAGTGAGTGAGTGAATTGTTGCACAGACTAGTGCTGGTTAAAATGATCGATAATCGGAAATATCGTCTATAGGAAATATTATTTATGTTTATCGATCTCAATATTGCTATCGATTATATCGTACGTTACTTTTTGTGGTATGAAAAAGTTGAATATACATATTGCCGATGTGACGTTAAATATTAACTCACTCACTCACTCTCATAATATACATATTGCCGATGTGACGTTAAATATCAACTCACTCACTTAAACACATAATATACATATTGCCGATGTGACGTTAAATATTAACTCACTCACTCACTCTCATAATATACATATTGCCGATGTGACATTAAATATTAACTCACTCACTCACTCTCATGATATACAGATATCGGATTGTCTTCAAGGTCTGCCTCTAAATTATGTTCATAACGCTGTTTCCGTAATAATATCTGCAAAAACATGTCACCACTCACAGTGATGTGAAGTACATTGATTTTATTCAGACATTTTTGGCATATTTGTTCAAAGTTACTTTTCCGATATTTTATCATATCGATATGTCTGTAACGATTATCAATCTCTATATCGAGAGCCTCTGTGAAGCAGTCCACACAAGGCTTCGGTTCCGTTGGATCGCTCTGTACATTGTGACGTCATCGTCCCAAACACTTAGCGGGAATGTTACTGGTCTAGCTAACTGACAGTTTCTGAAAACGTTTAGTTACTGTTATTGTGTGTCCTTGAGCTGTAGCTCATAAAGTCATTTGGGCACCTGTACACTGAAATATATGAGAACATGTCTGCCATCGACACTGGACACAAAACAAAGTTGAAGCATTCCGAACTTTGTAGCTTCCCACGACCGTATTCCACTGGTCTGGTGTTTCGTCAGTAACTGTCAACACTTGATTACATATAAACTTATACTGAACTAATACCAGACACAGTTTAAAAGGTTTAAAAACCCTCAACATTCACAAACAAAAGTAGACATCACACATGACCATCCTTTCAGTGCGGGTCGTGATGAAAGAATTAGACATTCTTGGAGTCAAACTCTCGCCCCAAGCGATTATGACCTGAGAGCTGTACACCATACCTCATGCCAAAGCCCCCACAGGTGTCCCCAGTCTAACAACATCATCACCACCTATTGAACAGACACTGATAACCTTGGTCCAGCGGGCAGTGTGTGTCACGGAACCAAAATGTCTGTGGTTCGTTTCCTGGTTGTATCATATCAAAAGATGACGCAGAGCACGAATACTCCAAAGAGAAGACTAAAGACAAACAACACAGATGAGTGTGTATTGAAGACAAACTCTTATATGGAAACGTATAAAACAATTGAATCAAAAAGGTAAAATTGAACAATTGAATCAAAAAGGTAAAATTAAACAATTGTACATAACGAGAGTAAAGCAGATACAGACAGAGACAATGATGTGAGCGTATTGTACACAGAGATTGCATTGCGTTTTCATGAAAGACGAGATGAGATTATGATTCAATGGTTACCTCGGCACTGATGTTCTCAATGTTTATGGTCCCCCAGGAAGTTGTATGATCCCCAGGGAGTTGAGACTGATAATACGATGTGCCGTTTGAGTTTGCCATCCAATGATCGAGGGAAAAGCATCTTTGAGCAGCTGAGCTGGATATTGGCGCTTATATAAATGTTAGTGCAATGATAATAAATCATTATTGTTTTCAGTGCCCTTGGTTTGGCACCTCCTGATCTCTTGGCGCAGATCAGGAGAGTGCCCGGGTTCTCCAACCAGAGCACAGCCCTTCTGACACTCTGGGTAATGCAGAAGGCTGCAGTGTTGGGGAGCCTTCATATTCTCCGGAAAGTTCTTGGTGGGTTCGACTGGGCAGCGTTCCCTGGGAGAAGTCCCATTCGCTGTCTGGGCTGCGTGTAGAGGGGGCAAGGGCCCTGAGCTGATGATGAGCCTTACCAGCCTGACTGAGCCAGGATCACCCGGCCCCTCTCTGCTGCATACAATCTTTAATCTGTAAAACATAATAATAATAATAATAATAATAATAACAATAATATATACACTACAACAGGTTGAGTTTCTGAAGTGTGTGCCTGACAGCCATTCGTGTATATTGCACGAGATCACACAGATAATGTAATTATGTTCGAGAGACACGCACATTAAGTCTGCATATATGTTGCTGATGTGAAGCGAGCCATAGAGTATGCGATGACAGCAACACGTTACTTCAAGACAAACACATAGGCACCAATGTAAGTCCGCTCATCTGAATATCTTCCACAATATAGAATTCCGACATATCCTAAGTCTGCTTTCCCTACATAAAATGTTTGTAATTGTTATCACCGACATAGTCTCAAATAACCTGAGCATTTGTTAAAGAAAAGAGGAACCTGTGCGACGGGTTAAGTCTGTGCGTGGTATTGTCATTGAACTGGAAAGAGGAGACAGAACTGGATTAAACTTTTTCTGTCCCATCTAGCTGTCATTCAAAGTCTGGCTGCCCTGTCTGAGAGAGTGAGTGAGTGAGTGAGTGAGTGAGTATGGTTTAACGCCGCGTTTAGCAACATTGCAGGAATATCACGGCGGGGGACACCAGAAATGGGCTTCACACATTGCACCCACGTGAGGAATCGAACCCGGGTCTTCAGCATGTCGAGCGGACGCTTTAACCATTAGGTTAAACACACACATGCAAAGAGTGACTTATTGCAGGGTGTAGCACGTGAACCACCAAATCATCGAGTATAACCCTCTACAGGTGAGGAGGACAGGCGTGATTAACCTCACATGGATTCTCAAACAGGCACAGGATATGGATGGCATTTTAAATGCAAAGAGAGAGGGCCATTTGAAACTATGTCAGAATATTTTTCAATTTTGACCACCACGATCCCAAACTACAAACTTTTGGGCATTTGTCACCAAACGATGCAAACATAGATAATGATATCTCTCCATCTTTAGAGGTCGTACACATCATACACATCTGTGAGGTTTTCCCCGCAATGATTTAACTGGAATACTGTTGTGACTCACTAGTGAAGGCAATATGTAAATTCTGAAACCAAATACCATATGGGGTTTACCTAAGGGAACAGTATGCAGGACTTCCTGATTCATCTCAGTGCCAGTTGGAGACATCTAGACAAGAGGTAGACAGTTCCATGGGCACCACCAGTGCAGCTGTCTTTCTGATCGGTTTCTGTATGCACATAATCGAACCAAAATCAGTTGCTTATATTCTGACATGAAAACAAAGGGACGCGGCCTTGAAGATAAACATAAGGTCCAGATCCTCTGATATTGGCCAAAGAACAAAGTCCGCCCCTCTGCTTTACGAGAAGCGAAAGAGAACAGTGAATTAGCCTTAAGGAAAAAAAACAAATCTCCTTAAAACATGAGAGATGACATCAACGTTCCTGCAATCAAGTTCCCTGTATGTAGAACGTCACCATCTCACACTCTTGACGTAAATCAGGCATACTCTTCTTGGACGTTTTCAAATAACGCTTGCTCAAAAGTTAAATCCAACCTTCCACATGCTTCATGATCATAAACTATGTACTGTTTTTGGTGGTTTCTGTTGCCCGAGGAATACAAATGGTTACCCTGCATTTGCACGTGTTAAGGAGCTAAGGCTTCAACTCTTCCAGTCCAGTGTAGAAATTGTTTACCAGCGGAGGAGGCGGAGGAGATCGCTCACTGTATGACACAACTAGAATGTACGATAGTCAGGAGATGAAGCTTCTACATTTCCAGTCACATATATCTACATGGTATTTCAAGCTGGTCAGCAAATGACATTTCCTGTTCAAATACCGACAACAATCAGTGGATGAGATCAAGACCAGGACATGTGATGTAGTGGTGCAGCAGTCACTGGCTGAAGCCGTTACCGTTGACGGTGAGAGTCACTTCAAACATGTTCCAACTCTACACTATCAATCATGGGTGTGACAAGGTAGCCAGGCGACTGTCGTGGGCCTCAGCATATACATCTGACAGGAAGATCGATGGGCTGTATTTGTCAACAGTTGTGGTATCTCCTGGACGGACCTGAACATGATCACGAAGGAATTGTATATGACAATGCTCCAAGGCGAAGGATGTGTTGAAATCGAACAGAGCACAAACACAGGCATTGTATATGGTGGGATGTGAAAATCCCGTTATGTCTCCTCTTGTGAAGAACGTACCTCGGAACATTCTGATAGCCATAGCTACCGCCGTCCGTGATTTTATTTGAACAACACTCTTCGCTGTCTCCAACAGATTTTCCAGGACTGTATTCTCAGATGTTTCTAACTCTCGCAGGTTCAGTTTATCCGAACACATGAACATCAGGATAAATGCAGCTGAGTGTCCATTCATTTGAAGAATTATTGAAAGAAGTTCCTCTCTCAAGTAAAGGAAAGGAGTCTGGTAAAACTCTTCACCATGTTGTTGAAAATTCTGATACTCAAAAAATAGTTTGCATGTTTGAGGAAAACCAAGAGAGGAATCACCATAGCTACAGATCGACTCTACATCCAGTGATGTTTGATCATGTTTACAATGATTCATGAAGATGTTTGTCTTGTCTTCTGTTGTGTATTGGCAGGATGTCAAGTCAACAACTGAAGAACCTATGAAGAAATAGTTTCCTTGCTCCTCGAGCTGTTCTAGTCCGCTTGTAAGACTACTGGTGTTGGAAGTAAAAATCGCGTACACAAAGACCTGTTTTTTCTTTGATGATCGTGTTCTACTTTTAATATCCGGCCGGGCTGGGAAGTTCACAAAATATTCTTGGAGTTCCTGTAGATTGTTTCTGATGGATTCTTTCGAGACGTCTAGCGTCCTGAATACATCACGAAAAATAAAACACACCCTTCCGCGGTGAATGTAGTCCGACAACTTGAATTTGGAAATGTCAACGACAAATACGAGTAGAAATCCCAGTTGTTGATAATGTGACCCCAACATGAGGGCAATGGATGTCTTCCCTCCACCATCTGCCCCCGACATCGTCACGTGACCTAGCTTCTCCAGCTTCTCCTGCACCTTCAGGTAGATGGACGTGTGGATGAAGTGCTTCTTCGTTTCTGCCACCTCATTGTCAAGTAAATCTGTCAATTAAATCAGAAGTGTTACACAGTTATATTCCACATTTCACTGTGAGCTTATCAAATTTTGTATAGAAATATGGCGAAACCCTAACGTGTTCAACAGTCTGCCAGGCGTCCATATCTAAAATATACGTCAATTCTGCTGTCACCTATAAACTCACGGGCGAAAGAAACATGTCACAAAACAACAAACTCAGATTTTGGAAACGTAACAGTCATGTTTGGAAAATTAATGGTTTTACAACATTCTGAATGATGAAAGTGTGAACTACAGATTTGAATGACCACATAGTGTACAATTGAATCGAGGACAGTTGACTGTCCGATATTCGAACACCATCTGTTTCATCATATGCGGCTCTAAACTGAAGACAGACAGTTTAATACAGTCAATATCGTGTGTGGTCACCCCTGGCTTGTATGCAAGCATGGACACGACGTCTAGCGGATAATGTTAGTCGTCTGATCACATATATTGGTATTCTCCGACATTCTTCCTGTAGGGCCTGTGCCAGCGCCTCTCCTGTCTGTATGGGTGGCTGTCGCTTGTTGATTTGTCGTCAAAGGTGGTCCCACGGGTGTTAAATCGGGGACAAGTTGGGAGATCGAGCTGGCCAAGGAAGTAACGTCACATTCTGGGCATTAAGGAAGTCCATACTGATGCGTGCCTTATGAGGTGTGGAGTTGTCTTGTTGGAACATGGTACGTGGGTGATTCTGGGTGAATGGCACGACGACTGGTCTTAAGACTTCATTGATGTACCGTGCAGCTGTTAGATTACCATGAAACACAATAAGATCATTCTTCATGTCGCCACAAATCCCTCCCCAGACCATCACGCTTCCACCATAATAGTGGTTGGTATCTTGTACGCAACAACGTCGTGTACGTTCTCCCCGCCTTCGGTATACGCGTTGTCTACCGTCTGGTTTAAACACTTGGAAACGGCTTTCATCGGTAAAGAGCACTCTGGACCAGGTTCTTGCCTGCCATGGCTCAACAGTTCTCGCCCACCTCAGCCTTTCAGGCGTCAACGTCATAGCCTTCAGCGGTCGATAGGCTCTGCTACCCTGGTGTCGAAGACGTCTGGCAACGGTCCTTCTGCTGACTGGATGGCCAAGAGCAGTTCGGGCAGATGACGTCACAGTTACGAAGCGGTAAATAACGGTCTTCATTGGGGGTCGTGACCCCCGGACGTCCACCTCTAGGCCTGTCAGACGTGACACCCGTCCGTCTGTAACGGTTCATCAATCTCAGGATTGTTCACTTTGAACAGTTCATCAACATTGCAACATGGGACTGCGTCGCTCCCAGATCCAGCATACCAATAGCTCGTCCTCTCTGCTGTGCTGATAGCCTTGCATGTTTCCTCTTTAACGTACAATGTGATCATGGAATACATCATTTCTCTGCACATTTTATACCTGAATTCAATACGGCTTTCTACGAAGGAATTTCGCAAAATTCCGAGCAAATTTAACATATTTACACAAATTACATGAATCTCGTGCAATTCAATGTGTAGTGTATGTTGTTTGCGTTCGGGCAAGTTGTTTCAACCCGTTTTTTATTGAAGAAAATACAATGGTTCGTTAAGAAATGAAACATAATTTTGGTGACATTTTTTTTGCCCGTGAGTTTACAAATTCCACTTTAACCAAAGTTAAAAACTAATTGTAACAATTTAAGAACGCATTCAAAAGGAAGCTTTTAAATGTTTCTCTACTATAATGTTCCTCTACCGTCTGTATCTCCAGGTTTCATATTTACCTTGGCTTAGCACCCCGGAGTTGCCGCCTCCAGTCGATGTCCTATCCGCCAGTAAAGATTTCTTTTCGTTTATTTCTGATGAAAAATATGTGAAACCGGTGATTAATATATTATCCATCGCGGGGAAATCAGAAAACGTTTAATTTTAAAACCAGACACATCAAACATATTTAAGCAGTTGGGCTCCGAGTCTTGTTTTTTTCCGTTATAATTAATAATTTGAAATGCCAGAGAACAACCAGTCTCGAATACAGGGTTAGTGTTACCGACTACAGGGTTAGTGTTACCGACTACAGGGTTACCGACTACAGGGTTAGGGTTACCGACTACAGGGTTACCGACTACAGGGTTAGTGTTACCGACTACAGGGTTAGTGACTACAGGGTTAGGGTTACCGACTACAGGGTTAGTGACTACAGGGTTAGGGTTACCGACTACAGGGTTAGTGACTACAGGGTTAGGGTTACCGACTACAGGGTTAGTGACTACAGGGTTAGTGTTACCGACTACAGGGTTAGTGACTATAGCGTTAGGGTTACCGACTACAGGGTTACCGACTACAGGGTTAGTGACTACAGCGTTAGTGTTACCGACTACAGGGTTAGTGACTACAGGGTTAGTGTTACCGACTACAGGGTTAGTGACTACAGCGTTAGGGTTACCGACTACAGGGTTAGTGACTACAGGGTTAGTGTTACCGACTACAGGGTTAGTGACTACAGCGTTAGTGTTACCGACTACAGGGTTAGTGACTACAGGGTTACCGACTACAGGGTTACCGACTACAGGGTTAGTGTTACCGACTACAGGGTTAGTGACTACAGGGTTAGGGTTACCGACTACAGGGTTAGTGACTACAGCGTTAGTGTTACCGACTACAGGGTTACCGACTACAGGGTTAGTGTTACCGACTACAGGGTTAGTGACTACAGGGTTAGGGTTACCGACTACAGGGTTAGTGACTACAGGGTTAGGGTTACCGACTACAGGGTTAGTGACTACAGCGTTAGTGTTACCGACTACAGGGTTAGGGTTACCGACTACAGGGTTAGTGTTACCGACTACAGGGTTAGTGTTACCGACTACAGGGTTAGGGTTACCGACTACAGGGTTACCGACTACAGGGTTAGTGTTACCGACTACAGGGTTAGTGACTACAGGGTTAGGGTTACCGACTACAGGGTTAGTGTTACCGACTACAGGGTTAGTGTTACCGACTACAGGGTTAGTGTTACCGACTACAGGGTTAGTGACTACAGGGTTAGTGTTACCGACTACAGGGTTAGTGTTACCGACTACAGGGTTAGTGTTACCGACTACAGGGTTAGTGACTACAGGGTTAGTGTTACCGACTACAGGGTTAGTGTTACCGACTACAGGGTTAGTGACTACAGGGTTAGGGTTACCGACTACAGGGTTAGTGTTACCGACTACAGGGTTAGTGTGACTACAGGGTTAGTGTTACCGACTACAGGGTTAGTTAGTTACCGACTACAGGGTTAGTACCGACTACAGGGTTAGTGTTACCGACTACAGGGTTAGTGTTACCGACTACAGGGTTAGTGTTACCGACTACAGGGTTAGTGTTACCGACTACAGGGTTAGTGACTACAGGGTTAGGGTTACCGACTACAGGGTTAGTGTTACCGACTACAGGGTTAGTGACTACAGGGTTAGTGTTACCGACTACAGGGTTAGTGACTACAGGGTTAGGGTTACCGACTACAGGGTTAGTGTTACCGACTACAGGGTTAGTGACTACAGGGTTAGTGTTACCGACTACAGGGTTAGTGTTACCGACTACAGGGTTAGTGTTACCGACTACAGGGTTAGTGTTACCGACTACAGGGTTAGTGACTACAGGGTTAGTGTTACCGACTACAGGGTTAGTGTTACCGACTACAGGGTTAGTGTTACCGACTACAGGGTTAGTGTTACCGACTACAGGGTTAGTGACTACAGGGTTAGGGTTACCGACTACAGGGTTAGTGTTACCGACTACAGGGTTAGTGACTACAGGGTTAGTGTTACCGACTACAGGGTTAGTGTTACCGACTACAGGGTTAGTGACTACAGGGTTAGTGTTACCGACTACAGGGTTAGTGTTACCGACTACAGGGTTAGTGTTACCGACTACAGGGTTAGTGTTACCGACTACAGGGTTAGTGTTACCGACTACAGGGTTAGGGTTACCGACTACAGGGTTAGGGTTACCGACTACAGGGTTACCGACTACAGGGTTAGGGTTACCGACTACAGGGTTACCGACTACAGGGTTAGTGACTACAGCGTTAGGGTTACCGACTACAGGGTTACCGACTACAGGGTTAGGGTTACCGACTACAGGGTTACCGACTACAGGGTTAGGGTTAGGGTTACCGACTACAGGGTTACCGACTACAGGGTTAGTGACTACAGCGTTAGGGTTACCGACTACAGGGTTACCGACTACAGGGTTAGTGACTACAGGGTTAGTGTTACCGACTACAGGGTTAGTGTTACCGACTACAGGGTTAGTGTTACCGACTACAGGGTTAGGGTTACCGACTACAGGGTTAGTGTTACCGACTACAGGGTTAGTGACTACAGGGTTAGTGTTACCGACTACAGGGTTAGTGTTACCGACTACAGGGTTAGTGACTACAGGGTTAGTGTTACCGACTACAGGGTTAGGGTTACCGACTACAGGGTTACCGACTACAGGGTTAGGGTTACCGACTACAGGGTTACCGACTACAGGGTTAGTGACTACAGGGTTAGTGTTACCGACTACAGGGTTAGTGTTACCGACTACAGGGTTAGGGTTACCGACTACAGGGTTAGTGTTACCGACTACAGGGTTAGGGTTACCGACTACAGGGTTAGGGTTACCGACTACAGGGTTAGGGTTACCGACTACAGGGTTAGTGTTACCGACTACAGGGTTAGGGTTACCGACTACAGGGTTAGTGACTACAGGGTTAGTGTTACCGACTACAGGGTTAGGGTTACCGACTACAGGGTTAGTGACTACAGGGTTAGTGTTACCGACTACAGGGTTAGTGTTACCGACTACAGGGTTAGTGTTACCGACTTCAGGGTTAGGGTTACCGACTACAGGGTTAGTGACTACAGGGTTAGTGTTACCGACTACAGGGTTAGGGTTACCGACTACAGGGTTACCGACTACAGGGTTAGGGTTACCGACTACAGGGTTAGTGTTACCGACTACAGGGTTACCGACTACAGGGTTACCGACTACAGGGTTACCGACTACAGGGTTACCGACTACAGGGTTAGGGTTACCGACTACAGGGTTACCGACTACAGGGTTAGTGTTACCGACTACAGGGTTACCGACTACACAGGGTTACCGACTACAGGGTTAGTGTTACCGACTACAGGGTTACCGACTACAGGGTTACCGACTACAGGGTTAGGGTTACCGACTACAGGGTTACCGACTACAGGGTTACCGACTACAGGGTTAGGGTTACCGACTACAGGGTTAGTGTTACCGACTACAGGGTTAGTGACTACAGGGTTAGTGTTACCGACTACAGGGTTAGGGTTACCGACTACAGGGTTACCGACTACAGGGTTAGTGTTACCGACTACAGGGTTACCGACTACAGGGTTAGTGTTACCGACTACAGGGTTACCGACTACAGGGTTAGGGTTACCGACTACAGCGTTAGTGTTACCGACTACAGGGTTAGTGTTACTGACTACAGGGTTAGTGTTACTGACTACAGGGTTAGTGACTACAGGGTTAGTGTTACCGACTTCAGGGTTAGTGTTACCGACTACAGGGTTAGGGTTACCGACTACAGGGTTAGGGTTACCGACTACAGCGTTAGTGTTACCGACTACAGGGTTAGTGTTACCGACTTCAGGGTTAGTGTTACCGACTACAGGGTTAGTGTTACCGACTACAGGGTTAGTGTTACCGACTACAGGGTTAGTGTTACCGACTACAGGGTTAGGGTTACCGACTACAGGGTTAGGGTTACCGACTACAGGGTTAGGGTTACCGACTACAGGGTTAGTGTTACCGACTACAGGGTTAGTGTTACTGACTACAGGGTTAGGGTTACCGACTACAGGGTAAGGGTTACCGACTTCAGGGTTAGGGTTACCGACTACAGGGTTAGGGTTACCGACTACAGGGTTAGTGTTACCGACTACAGGGTTAGGGTTACCGACTACAGGGTTAGTGTTACCGACTACAGGGTTAGGGTTACCGACTACAGGGTTAGGGTTACCGACTACAGGGTTAGGGTTACCGACTACACGACCAATGAGATTCAGTTTAGCACAAAGAGTACCGGCAGCCCTAGCTGTATGAACGGATCAGTGATATCTCTATGTCGACTTCTGATCATTACACAGACCAGTGTGACATTGGGTCGAACAGATGATGTGAGATGACACGTGTTTAACATCATGCTGTGTGAAATAAGTTAGGCGAATGAGCTTAAAGTTTAGTGTTTAGAGTAACAAAAGTAAATGTCTACAGAATTCACATAACCTTTCTTCATAAATAAAAGTGGAAACTACATACCACCCAGTCTGGCTTCCAGGAGGTCAGTGTACACATCTGACAGGTACACACGTGGCTCGTATTTGTTGACAAGAGTTGTGTCCCCTTGTTGACCTTGAACGTGTTCATGGATGAACTGGGCCCGGCAGTGCTTCAGACCAAATGATGGATTGATGTCAAACAGGGCACAGGCACATGCGTTGTATATGGAACGATGTGAAAATCCTGTTATGTCTCCTTTGGTGAAGAAGGTACCCCGGAATTGTTTGATTGCCATGGCAACGGCAGTTCTCGATGATATCTGTACAACGTCCTCGATCATCGTGAAGATAGACTCCAGCATTGTGTTGTCTGATTTACGTTCTACTTGGTGAAGGTTAAGGTCACCATCAAAGAGAAACATCACAATAAAGGCAGCCGCCTTGTCATCCAGACCTTGAAGAATTGTCAGAAGCTCTCCTCTAAGATAACGGAAAGGTGCCTGGAAAAAACGTTCTGAATACTTTTGGAAGTTCGGAAATTCCACAAAAAGTTTGCACGTTTGAGGAAAGCCTAAGACTGATTGTTCAAATTGACAAACCTTGTCCACATCTAATTGTATCTTAATATTCTTGCAATGCTGGAGAAATATACCCTTCTTCTCTTCTGCTGTTAACTTCAAATCTGCCACATCAAGGAATGAAGGGCCCTTGAAGAATATGTCTTCCAGCTCCTCAAGTTGTGATATTCCAGTTGTGACGTAATCCATGTTTGTGGTAAATATAGCATAAACCTTGCGTGGGGGTTCCTCTCCTGTATCCGACCCTTTCCTGGATCCGTGTAGATGTCTCCCGAGTTCTAGAAGAACGTTCCGGAAAAGAGATACATCTTTTAAGTCTAGCGTCCTGAATATGTCACGAAATATAAAACACACATCCTTTCCAAGATTAGTGTAATCCGACAACTTGAATTTACACATGTCAACAACAACAACCAGTTGGAATCCACGTTGTTGATAATCTGACCCCAGCATGAGAGCGATGGATGTCTTCCCTCCGCCTGCTGCCCCAGACATTGTCACGTGACCGTGCTGCTCCAGAATGTCCTTGACCTTCTTGTAGCTGGAGGCCTCTACGAAGACGTCTCTAGTTTTGGCTACTTCTCTGTCCACTGCATCTGTTGAACAGCATCATTATTATTCCAATAGCTAAGTTGTTTGTTTCTAATAATCTGCAACACCATGATATGATACAACTTATGCTCTGATTTATGTGACAAGGCTGACACAATATTCCCCTGACAACAATTAACGACTCATTGTTTTGTTGAGTACACAAATGTGCATAGAATATTTTTTTTTACTTTAATTCTAAAGATAGATAGAGAACAGAGTTACCCGAAGGTTTGTATGTGTGTGTGTGTGTTTGTATATTGGCACAAAGGGATGTATGTGTACAGTTAAGGTCTAAACGTTACAACGGCAACTACAAAAAGTGTTTGGATGTTCAGATCATAGTGTGTAGATAGTAAACAATTCCAAAGACAAATAATGAGAAATATTTTTTTGTTTGAGTTTTGGTTGACGCCGAACTCATCATATTCCAGCTATATTTATGGCGGCAGTCTGTAAATAGTCGAGTCTGGACAAGACAATTCAGTGATCAACAGCATGGGCATCGATCTACGCAATTGCGTCAACCAAGTCAGCGAGTCTGACCCCCCGATCCTGTTAGTCGCCTCTTACGACAAACATTGGTTACTGAAGACCAAGTCTAACCCGGACCTTCACGGGTTTTACCATGAAATGTGATCGTCAGGAATCAACAAAATTCACTCACCTGTGCTCATGATTCCAGCGTTGTCAGATGTCACTCTCCGTAGTACATTTGCAGTCTCAAGTGAGGCGTCTACAGTGTCATGTAAAGGGTCAACTTGTCTTGTGTCTATGAATACAACCTCAGTGTAAGTAAGGTCAGTAATTAGGGCTCCTTGCCTCTAGGTAGGAGACCTATTGTAATCGTTCGGATTATTTAATTATTATTATCATTATTTATTATTCCGCCGATTTGTGTACCAAACATAACTCCTAAACCAATGCTCCGAATCACTTACACAAAATCACACAGATGCGCACCGAGGTGTAGATATTCCCCTTAAAAATCTCTAGGCTCTTGGCCCAATAGCAAAGGGGCGATAATTCAAAATTAATTCCAAAATTTCAACGTTTGACAGCAAATATCTCATAACTAAATTTCTTGTACAGGTGCACAATCGAATACCCAACAATTTTGCCTCGACGGGTCAAGTCGCTAAAACGTACCGTTTGGCAGTTATTTTTGTTTTCAGCTTTTCTGAGTAGTTTGCTTCAAAAATGTGCAAATTCTGCACAAAAAGTGCCAGTATGGTGGATGATGTCCTGGCGATTCCAGAACACTAATTGTTTTGAACGTAGACCCAAGAACAACTGAGATACAGCCTTTTAAAGAGGGAACTATTTCTTCTCCGGAACAACTTAAATGGTACATGAGCCCGTGACCCCGGCTGTATTTGGAAGATCCGCTCGCCTGTCAAAATATGTGTTCTGGCTCCGTTTTGGACGATGATATTTTGCCCTCGGATACAATAGATAAAAAGTAAAGCCAAGGAGACCTCATCGTTGCCCGCAACTATATTTTTAAATGAACTAATCTTTCCTTATCCTAAAACTGATCACTTGTTGTTGGTTAAACACACAGCAGGTCTATCGGCACATCAGAGGACCATAAGAGCCGTCTCTAGGTCCAACTGAGTTGTTGTATAGGTCTCAGTCTATAATAGGTTACAGGGTACATCAGAGGACCATAAGAGCCCTCTCTAGGTCCAACTGAGTTGTTGTATAGGCTTCAGTCTATAATAGGTTACAGGGTACATCAGAGGACCATAAGAGCCGTCTCTAGGTCCAACTGAGTTGTTGTATAGGCTTCAGTCTATAATAGGTTACAGGGTACATCAGAGGACCATAAGAGCCGTCTCTAGGTCCAACTGAGTTGTTGTATAGGCTTCAGTCTATAATAGGTTACAGGGTACATCAGAGGACCATAAGAGCCGTCTCTAGGTCCAACTGAGTTGTTGTATAGGTTTCAGTCTATAATAGGTTACAGGGTACATCAGAGGACCATAAGAGCCGTCTCTAGGTCCAACTGAGTTGTTGTATAGGTTTCAGTCTATAATAGGTTACAGGGTACATCAGAGGACCATAAGAGCCGTCTCTAGGTCCAACTGAGTTGTTGTATAGGCTTCAGTCTATAATAGGTTACAAGGTACATCAGAGGACTATACGAGCCGTCTCTAGGTCCAACTGAGTTGTTGTATAGGCTTAACAGTTGACTGGGTACACCAATGCCAATGTTGTTAACTGAATTGGTGGACGCCAAGCCACCCTATCGCACCTGAAGGTAAAGACATCGTAGAACACATTGCATTTATTTCATTCTAGAAATAGCGCCTTTGGTGTACCTACCTTGGGTCTCTCTAAGTCTTTCCACGTCGGAAGGTTCTGAAGAGAAAAAGCCATGTTCCAACAGTAGCAGACAAGGCTAGCTGAAGACTCCACAGATATATCACTTGACTCGTTATCCGTAAACAAATACAGTACACCCAGGATATAATACCACCCTGGATATAATACCACCCTGGATACAATACCACCCTGGATATAATACCACCCTGGATATAATACCACCCTGGATACAATGCCACCCTGGGTATAATACCACCCTGGATATAATACCACCCTGGATATAATACCAACCTGGATATAATGCCACCCTGGATATAATACCCCCCTGGATATAATACAATACCAACCTGGATATAATACCACCCTGGATATAATACAACCCTGGATATAATGCCTCCCTGGATATAATGCCACCGTGGATATAATGTCACGTGGATATAATGCCACCCTGGATATAATGCAACAGTGGATATAATACCACCCTGGATATAATACCCCCCTGGATATAATACAATACCACCCTGGATATAATACCACCCTGGATATAATACCATCCTGGATATAATACCACCCTGGATATAATGCCACCCTGGATATAATGCCACCCTGGATATAATGCCACCCTAGATATAATGCCAACCTGGTTGTAATACCACCCCGGAATATAATGCCACCCTGGATATAATGCCACCCTGGATATAATGTCACCCTGGTTGTAATGCCACCCTGGATATAATGCCACCCTAGATATAATGCCAACCTGGTTGTAATACCACCCCGGATATAATGCCACTCTGGTTGTAATGCCACCCTGGATATAATGCCACCCTAAATATAATGCCACCCTGGATATAATGCCACCGTGGATATAATGCCACCTGGACAAAATGCCACCCTGGTTACAATGCCACCTGGATATGCCACCTGGATATGCCACCCTGGTGATTTTGCCATTACATCCCTGGATTTGATCAAAGTGTATCAGACTTTAGGGAGGTTGTATATTGTATCCTCGGTGTGCACTGTACGAACAATCCTGTGTTTGATCAAACTGTATCAGACTTTACGGAGGTTGTATATTGTATCCCCGGTGCTACAGTGTATAGTCACGTGCAAAAGAAACGTCCCCAAAATTTAAATTCTATTATATTTGCTGGATATGGCCAAAAACATGAAACCAGTTCGGAACACATTGCCCAAACACACAAATGCATGACACCCCAAGGAAATGCACGTGTTGCATTCCAGTTGTGGAAAAATGACTTTATTCAGTGAAATTTCCTGCACGTGGAAAACCCGTTGGAAACTGTTCTTTGCAATCACAGTCATCTGAAAAAACAGCAGAATATGCCTGGACTAACAGCAGAAAGGAGAGAAAGACCGATTGGCATGTTGCAGCTGGGGGCAACACACGACCATGTTGGAAGAATCCTGGGTTGTGCAAAAAGAACGATTGGGACATTGGTCACACGTTACAGACAAGCTGGCCGGACAGCAGACAGGCCGAGGAGCGGTTGAACGGAAGTCACTACCCCACAAGGGGACCGTTATGTACAGACGCTTCATTTAAGCAACAGATTCCTCGCCGTGACGTCATCATCTGGGTTTAGCCTCGGCCATCGCGTCAGCACCTGGACAGTGTCCGGACGACAACGTCAACATGGAAATCGGAGCCTATAGACCGTAGTGGGGCATGACGTTACCGCCGGAATATTGACGTCGAAGATTGGTTTTGGCCAGGAATGTTCGTCAATGGCAGCAACGGAACCGGAAACGGGTCCTTTTCAGCGTCGAGAGTAGATTCCATTTGAACAGAACTGACGACCGAAGATGTGTCTACCACCGGCGTGGGGAACGTTGTTGCTTTCAGGAAACGGAACCATATGGTAGAGGGAGTGTGACGGTTTGGGGTGGCACGTGGGAACACCAAGACCGATCTTGTTGTCATCAATGGCAGCCTGACAGCCCGTCGGTATATTGATGAAGGTCTGCGGCCCTATATCCTACCTTTCCTCCAGCAATATCCAGGAATATTGTTTCAAGAAGGCAATAGAACACCTCACACCGCTTTTGTCACAACGGCTTTTCTCAACGTCAACAACGTGCCCGTACAGCCTTGGCCACGAAGAACCCCTGACATGTCTCCGACCGAGTACTTGTGGGGCCATCTTGGACGTCTGAATCTACAGCTTCCACACCCTCCATTGACGAGAAATACACTGGCTCAGGCATTACAGAGAGAATTGCGTCAGATCCCCAGTCACGTGATCAAGAGACTTACACACTCGGCCCGACAGCGTGTTCTGACGTGCACCGATGTAAGGGTGGACATGCGCGGTATTGACGATCTGCCTTCCCATTTCAACCTATCGAATACTGGACAATCGACCCCAATGTAACAACATCCCCTGTACCACTGTCAGGTTTACCACGTTCTCTTTCTTTATGTGAGACATGCTTTACATACACCTTCGTTATGCATATTAACCGGTCATATCTATTCGTGTTTGCGCTTGTGTTGTTTGGTAGTTGAAAAATACTTGGGGACGTTTCTTTTGCACGTGAGTGTACATTGAGGTGACATATCTAAAACTGCAAGTATTGTATTAATACAACTACTGTCAGATAGAAAATACAAAGTTTGAATTGTTACACCTATTATCAGATACTGAAAAGCGTTACATGAAAATACAACCTTAGAACTGATACAACTAAATTGAAAAGATGTATATGATTATATGAGACGCAAACGGAAGTACCTGCTACAAAGTGATCATCATGCGGTAATGGCTGACAAGGAAATAGTGCTAATATTGTTGTTTAGTGCAAACAACCAGATCATATCAGCAGGGACTGACTCCGATTGGTAGCAATTATCCTGTGTTTGTTTGTTTGTTCGTTCGTTTGTTTGCTTGTTTGTGTGTTTGTTTGTTTGTGTGTGTTTTTGTTTGTTTGTGTGTTTGTTTGTTTGCTTGTTTGTGTGCTTGTTTGTTTGTTTGTGTGTTTGTTTGTTTGTTTGTTTGTTTGTGTGTTTGTTTGTTTGTTTGTGTGTTTGTTTGTATGTTTGTGTGTTTGTTTGTTTGTTTGTTTGTTGGTGTGTTTGTTTGTGTGTTTGTTTGTTTGTTTGTGTTTGTTTGTTTGTGTTTGTGTTTGTGTGTTTGTTTGTTTGTTTGTGTGTTTGTGTGTTTGTGTGTTTGTTTGTGTGTTTGTTTGTTTGTTTGTTTGTTTGTTTGTTTGTTTGTTTGTTTGTTTGTTTGTGTGTTTGTTTGTGTGTTTGTGTGTTTGTGTGTTTGTTTGTGTGTTTGTGTGTTTGTTTGTTTGTTTGTTCGGTTGTGTGTTTGTTTGTTTGTTCGTTTGTTGGTGTGTTTGTTTGTTTGTTTGTGTTTGTTTGTTTGTTTGTTTGTTTGTTTGTTTGTTTGTTTGTTTGTTTGTTTGTGTGTTTGTTTGTTTGTTTGTTTGTTTGTGTGTTTGTTTGTTTGTGTGTTTGTTTGTGTGTTTGTGTGTGTGTTTGTTTGTTTGTTTGTTTGTTTGTTTGTTGTTTGTTTGTTTTGTTTGTTTGTTTGTGTGTTTGTTTGTTTGTTTGTTTTTGTTTGTTTGTTTGTTTGTGTGTTTGTGTGTTTGTTTGTGTGTTTGTTTGTTTGTTTGTGTGTTTGTTTGTTTGTTCGGTTGTGTGTTTGTTTGTTTGTTTGTTTGTTTGTTTGAGGTATCCTTTGTTTGACGCCCCACTCCGCAATATACTTGGTGTAAATACTCGAGCCGCACCCAGCAATATTCAGATATATAGCGGCGATCTGTAACTAATCGAGTCTGGACCAGACGATCCAGTGATCAACAGCAAGAGCTTCGATCAACCAACCGATCCCGTTAGTCGCCGCTTATTGCAATAATGGGTTGTCCTATAGATCACGTGCTTGTTTGTTGCTGAACGCCGCACTCAGCAATATTTCAACTATATGACTGCGGTCTGGACCAGACAATCCGGTGACCAACAGCATGAACATCGCAGTTGTTTAAGAAACACAGCACACCGCCTGTTGTGAATGAGATGCCAGATACACAGGGAAGAGAACTGGCCAGAAACTGACATTATATGATAATTGCAAGTTTCTGGAAATATGACATACTTACCACCCGTTTGACGTGGGCTACCCAGCGGATTCACTACAAAGAGCATATAATTTATTGGTGAAATTGTGAAAATAAACATGAGCATGAAGCTCCAAGATACGTCGAGCTGACATGGGTAGCAGGACAACAGTGTAGCGGGTGGTACAATGTCACAACCGCATGGATGGTCTCTCCATGGACAAATTTACATTCGAGTGAAATTATAATTAGAAAACAGTCTACACTGGGTCATGACTTACACATACATGTCAACAAACAGAATCGTTACATCTTGCTTACAGCCTTGCATCGTATTTAAATTGTGAAATCATTATTCGTTAGATAAAATATGATGGGTTATGTTATGAAACGGTTGATACTCACTTTCTTCGTGACCACTAAAAGAAAAGACATTGAAGTTTGATATGAAGAGTACATTCATCAACAATATGATAACAGTAATCATAACTGGCTTCTTACGTGCCAAGTGTCCACCGAGAATGGCGCTGGACAAAGTTAAAAGCAATAGGTCCATACACATATATACACACACAGTCATGAAAGTCTAGTGGAATGCTGAGGGGATGAGGTGGGTTTTTAGGAGCTACTTGTAAAGGTCTTTAGGTTTGGTGTTTCTTAGTTCCATACATATTGTTATATACATGTGATATTCATGGTATAACAATGTTCCCAGTATTACAATGTACATGTGATATTCATCGTATAACAATGTTCCCATTATTACAATGTACATGTGATATTCATCGTAAAACAATGTTCCCACTATTACAATGTACATGTGGTATTCATCGTATAACAATGTTCCCAGTATTACAATGTACATGTGATATTCATCGTATAACAATGTTCCCAGTATTACAATGTACATGTGATATTCATCGTACAACAATGTTCCCAGTATTACAATGTACATGTGATATTCATGGTATAACAATGTTCCCAGTATTACAATGTACATGTGATATTCATCGTATAACAATGTTCCCAGTATTACAATGTACATGTGATATTCATCGTATAACAATGTTCCCAGTATTACAATGTACATGTGATATTCATGGTATAACAATGTTCCCAGTATTACAATGTACATGTGATATTCATCGTATAACAATGTTCCCAGTATTACAATGTACATGTGATATTCATCGTATATCAATGTTCCCAGTATTACAATGTACATGTGATATTCATGGTATAACAATGTTCCCAGTATTACAATGTACATGTGATATTCATCGTATAACAATGTTCCCAGTATTACAATGTACATGTGATATTCATCGTATAACAATGTTCCCAGTATTACAATGTACATGTGATATTCATGGTATAACAATGTTCCCAGTATTACAATGTACATGTGATATTCATGGTATAACAGTGTTCCCAGTATTACAATGTACATGTGATATTCATCGTATAACAATGTTCCCAGTATTAAAATGTACATGTTCCCAGATATTCATCGTATAACAGTGTTCCCAGTATTAAAATATACATGTGATATTCATCGTATAACAATGTTCCCAGTATTACAATGTACATGTGATATTCATGGTATAACAATGTTCCCAGTATTACAATGTACATGTGATATTCATCGTATAACAATGTTCCCAGTATTACAATGTACATGTGATATTCATGGTATAACAATGTTCCCAGTATTACAATGTACATGTGATATTCATGGTATAACAATGTTCCCAGTATTACAATGTACATGTGATATTCATGGTATAACAATGTTCCCAGTATTACAATGTACATGTGATATTCATGGTATAACAATGTTCCCAGTATTACAATGTACATGTGATATTCATGGTATAACAATGTTCCCAGTATTACAATGTACATGTGATATTCATGGTATAACAATGTTCCCAGTATTACAATGTACATGTGATATTCATGGTATAACAATGTTCCCAGTATTACAATGTACATGTGATATTCATGGTATAACAATGTTCCCAGTATTACAATGTACATGTGATATTCATCGTATAACAATGTTCCCAGTATTACAATGTACATGTGATATTCATGGTATAACAATGTTCCCCAGTATTACAATGTACATGTGATATTCATCGTATAACAATGTTCCCAGTATTACAATGTACATGTGATATTCATGGTATAACAATGTTCCCAGTATTACAATGTACATGTGATATTCATCGTATAACAATGTTCCCAGTATTACAATGTACATGTGATATTCATGGTATAACAATGTTCCCAGTATTACAATGTACATGTGATATTCATCGTATAACAATGTTCCCAGTATTACAATGTACATGTGATATTCATCGTATAACAGTGTTCCCAGTATTACAATGTACATGTGATATTCATCGTATAACAATGTTCCCAGTATTACAATGTACATGTGATATTCATCGTATAACAATGTTCCCAGTATTACAATGTACATGTGATATTCATCGTATAACAATGTTCCCAGTATTACAATGTACATGTGATATTCATCGTATAACAATGTTCCCAGTATTACAATGTACATGTGATATTCATGGTATAACAATGTTCCCAGTATTACAATGTACATGTGATATTCATCGTATAACAGTGTTCCCAGTATTACAATGTACATGTGATATTCATCGTATAACAGTGTTCCCAGTATTACAATGTACATGTGATATTCATGGTATAACAGTGTTCCCAGTATTACAATGTACATGTGATATTCATCGTATAACAATGTTCCCAGTATTACAATGTACATGTGATATTCATCGTATAACAATGTTCCCAGTATTACAATGTACATGTGATATTCATCGTATAACAATGTTCCCAGTATTACAATGTACATGTGATATTCATGGTATAACAATGTTCCCAGTATTACAATGTACATGTGATATTCATCGTATAACAATGTTCCCAGTATTACAATGTACATGTGATATTCATCGTATAACAATGTTCCCAGTATTACAATGTACATGTGATATTCATGGTATAACAATGTTCCCAGTATTACAATGTACATGTGATATTCATCGTATAACAATGTTCCCAGTATTACAATGTACATGTGATATTCATCGTATAACAATGTTCCCAGTATTACAATGTACATGTGATATTCATCGTATAACAATGTTCCCAGTATTACAATGTACATGTGATATTCATCGTATAACAATGTTCCCAGTATTACAATGTACATGTGATATTCATCGTATAACAATGTTCCCAGTATTACAATGTACATGTGATATTCATCGTATAACAATGTTCCCAGTATTACAATGTACATGTGATATTCATCGTATAACAATGTTCCCAGTATTACAATGTACATGTGATATTCATCGTATAACAATGTGTTCCCAGTATTACAATGTACATGTGATATTCATCGTATAACAATGTTCCCAGTATTACAATGTACATGTGATATTCATCGTATAACAATGTTCCCAGTATTACAATGTACATGTGATATTCATCGTATAACAATGTTCCCAGTATTACAATGTACATGTGATATTCATGGTATAACAATGTTCCCAGTATTACAATGTACATGTGATATTCATCGTATAACAATGTTCCCAGTATTACAATGTACATGTGATATTCATCGTATAACAATGTTCCCAGTATTACAATGTACATGTGATATTCATGGTATAACAATGTTCCCAGTATTACAATGTACATGTGATATTCATGGTATAACAATGTTCCCAGTATTACAATGTACATGTGATATTCATCGTATAACAATGTTCCCAGTATTACAATGTACATGTGATATTCATGGTATAACAATGTTCCCAGTATTACAATGTACATGTGATATTCATCGTATAACAATGTTCCCAGTATTACAATGTACATGTGATATTCATGGTATAACAATGTTCCCAGTATTACAATGTACATGTGATATTCATCGTATAACAATGTTCCCAGTATTACAATGTACATGTGATATTCATCGTATAACAATGTTCCCAGTATTACAATGTACATGTGATATTCATGGTATAACAATGTTCCCAGTATTACAATGTACATGTGATATTCATCGTATAACAATGTTCCCAGTATTACAATGTACATGTGATATTCATGGTATAACAATGTTCCCAGTATTACAATGTACATGTGATATTCATGGTATATATTCATGGTATAAATGTTCCCAGTATTACAATGTACATGTGATATTCATCGTATAACAATGTTCCCAGTATTACAATGTACATGTGATATTCATCGTATAACAATGTTACATGTGATATTCAGTATAACAATGTTTCCCAGTATTACAATGTACATGTGATATTCATCGTATAACAATGTTCCCAGTATTACAATGTACATGTGATATTCATCGTATAACAATGTTCCCAGTATTACAATGTACATGTGATATTCATCGTATAACAATGTTCCCAGTATTACAATGTACATGTGATATTCATCGTATAACAATGTTCCCAGTATTACAATGTACATGTGATATTCATCGTATAACAATGTTCCCAGTATTACAATGTACATGTGATATTCATCGTATAACAGTGTTCCCAGTATTAATGTACATGTGATATTCATGGTATAATGTTCCCAGTATTACAATGTACATGTGATATTCATGGTATAACAATGTTCCCAGTATTACAATGTACATGTGATATTCATCGTATAACAATGTTCCCAGTATTACAATGTACATGTGATATTCATCATTATAACAATGTTCCCAGTATATACAACATGATATTCCGTCGTATAACAATGCATTACAATGTATGTGATATTCATGGTATAACAATGTTCCCAGTATTACAATGTACATGTGATATTCATCGTATAACAATGTTCCCAGTATTACAATGTACATGTGATATTCATGGTATAACAATGTTCCCAGTATTACAATGTACATGTGATATTCATCGTATAACAATGTTCCCAGTATTACAATGTACATGTGATATTCATGGTATAACAATGTTCCCAGTATTACAATGTACATGTGATATTCATCGTATAACAATGTTCCCAGTATTACAATGTACATGTGATATTCATCGTATAACAATGTTCCCAGTATTACAATGTACATGTGATATTCATCGTATAACAATGTTCCCAGTATTACAATGTACATGTGATATTCATGGTATAACAATGTTCCCAGTATTACAATGTACATGTGATATTCATCGTATAACAATGTTCCCAGTATTACAATGTACATGTGATATTCATGGTATAACAATGTTCCCAGTATTACAATGTACATGTGATATTCATGGTATAACAATGTTCCCAGTATTACAATGTACATGTGATATTCATCGTATAACAATGT